TTAACATGCAGTTATAACACTGGGTGCCAAGGGACATGTTGTATACAAAGTGCTTTGCTCAAAGGGCAGTTTATTTTCCTGCCATATCTCTCACACACACACATACACACACACACACCCCTCCAGCCCACCCTGGTCTCATCACCTTTTCACATCTTCTCAGGATCCCTGCAACAAGTAGTATGTGCTGTAAACCCACAAAGAAACACCTGAATACAGGCTGCTTTGTATTGTTCTCTAATTGCTTCCTGTACACAGAGCTTCTCTCCATCCCTCATAAATATAGACATAAATAAAATTCTTCACATTGCCTAGCACATTACCAAGCATAGAAGGAGCACGTGGGAACCTCTGGGCCTGCCAGTCTTTTCTCCATACTGCAGCCAGAGTGATCTTTACAAAACACCGACATCCTCCCCCTTCTTAGAAACCTTCCATAGATTGCTTTCTTTTTTGATAAATGTCAAAATTCTAACATGGCCTGAGAAACCCATCCTGATCTGTCTCTCTAGACTCATCTTGCTGCACTCTCTCCCTAACTTTCTGTTTTCTCCAAGGGGCCTTTGCAACCTCCACCCAGACCCCTTCCTTCTTCCTTCCCCATTTTGCCTTTTTAATCCTGCTCATCCTTCATATCCAAGGACATAGCCCTTTCTTGGTAACCTTCATGCATCCACCAAGTTAGATCAGGTTCCATTGTCATTTGTATCAGTGAACTGATTTCTTTCCTTTAGACTGTTACCTAACCTGTAATTAAACCTTCGTCAGTGTCATTATTTGGATAATGTCTGCCCCCCCTAGTAGGCTGTAACTTACATGGGAGCAGTGGCTGTGTTTGGTTTTTCTTACAACTGTATCTCTGGGACCTGTCCTAGGGCTGCCATATATTGGATGTTCAGTAGATACCTGTGGAAGGATCAATGAGTAAATGAATGAACACTAAGTATCCCGTGTTCTGTACTCAGTCCTAGGAATACAAAGGGAATTAACACTGGATCTCTACCCACAAGGAGTTTATAGTCAGAGAGCAAAGACATAAGCAATTATTATAGGGGATTGAGTGCAGGGATTGATTTTCAGTGTCTGCCATGGCCATGGAGTTGGAGGAATGGCATTGTGAGTGCCTGTGCTTTGGTCCACTGAGCCTTCATTAAGTCATATTAGCTTTATTGACCCAGATTATGAAGGATCTTTTGCCATAATTTGAAGTTTGCACTTTAGCTCTGGTTTTCAATCAGGGCAATAAACCTTCTCCAAAACTTTAAAAATAGATTATACGTTTTTCTTATGGTCCCAGACTTTCTATTTCCTTTTTTAAAAAACTTAAACGAAGTGTGATTGATTTACAATGTTGTATTAGCTTCTTGTGTACAGCGTAGTGATTCAGTTATATTTATATATATTCCTTTTCATTTTTTTATCATAGGTTATTACAAGATATTGAATTTAGGTCCCTATGCAATACAGTTGGACCTTGTTGTTTATCTATTTAATATATAATAGTATCTGCAAATCCCAAACTCCCAATTTATCCCTCCCCACCCTTTTTCCCCCTGCTAACCATAAATTTGTTTTCTATATCTGTGAGTCTGTTTCTGTTTTATAAATAAGTTCATTTGTGTCATTTTTTAGATTCCACATATAAGTGATATCATATGGTATTTTTCTTTCTCTTTTTGGATTACCTCACTTAGTATGAAAATCTCTAAGTCCATCCATGATGCTGCAAATGGCATTATTTCATTCTTTTTATGGCTGAGTAGTATTCCATTGTATAAATATACCACAACTTCTTTATCCAGTCATCTGTGGATGGACATTTAGGTGGTTTCCGTGATTCAACTGTTGTAAATAGTGCTGCTATGAACATTGGGGTGCATATGTCTTTTTGAATTAGTTTCCTCTGGTTATATGCTCAGGAGTGGGATTGCTGGGTCATATGGTAAGTCTATTTTTAGTTTTTTAAGGAATCTCCATACTGTTTTCCACAATGGCTTCACCAAATTACATTCCCACCAACAGTGGAGGAGGGTTGCCTTTCTCCACACCGTCTCCAGCATTTGTTGTTTGTGGACTTTTGAATGATGGCCATTCTGACTGGTGTAAGGTGATACCTCATTGTAGTTTTGATTTGCATTTCTCCAATGAGTAACGATGTTGAACATTTTTCTTGTGCCTTTTGGCCATCAGTTTGTCTTCATTGGAGAAATGTCTGTTTAGGTCTTTTAGGCTATACTTTTATATGTCTGCAAGGAAGGGCCATTTGAGCTTCCTTTCTCCCCAACTACTCTGTGGTTCTGTAATAAAAATTAGCTCTTAGTATCAGGGCTTTAAGTAACAGATTAGAAGCCAGGCAGAGAACAAAAGGAGTGAAGCTGGTCGCCACCTAGTGGTCTGAGTTGAGCCTGTGTATTTTTCGGAACCAGGAGAGGAAGAGTTTGTTCTTGGCTCCACCTATTTCTCTGCAGTTAGTGAGACTTGTCCATTAGTAAACTAACCTGCTAAATATGCCTAGAAACTAGGAAATAGATAGAAGTAATATGGCCTTAGTAGGAAAGGATAGTTGGTTCCTGGGAAACTCAGGTGGTCATGAAGTTACCAATCATGGCTTGGGGTTATGATGAAAGAAAAGAAAGGAAACTCACAAGTGTGTTCCACATTTATGGAAGCCAAATTTCTAAACTGCTCTAGATTGTCCATCACATCCTTGTCAGAATTAACAGCCTTTCTGGATTTTACTGTTAGCTGTCACTTTGAAGAAATCTCAAAACCTAATTCCTACTGACCTGATATTGGCTGATAATAAACTTACCTCTTCCATGAATATCTGCTCATTAAATGTAATAACAGGAAGATTCCTAGAAGAGGTAACACCTGAGTTAAATCTTAAGCAATTAAAATGAGTTAACCAAAGAGGAAGAGGAAGGGCAATTCTAGAAGGAGGGAACAGCATGAGCAAAGTAGGGAGGCCGGAAATATCATAAAATATGCAAAGAAATACCTCATAGTTGTGTCAAAATCTTTATGGCCTTATCCACTCTAATTTTTGGAGAATCCATCCTAAAATATATTGCATATGTTCAAATGCATTCCACAGTAAATATAATTTATATTTAACTTTGAGTCATGTTGAGTTAAAGTGACTGATGGCCTTAATGTTACTTGCTCTAGACATTAATTTTAATTTTTCAGGACTTTTTGGTAATGAGTTTTGAAGCCCAAATACTTTAACCTCAGGTATCTAGTACCTGATAAATAAATAAAACATGGCACTAAGCAGTTCAGAGTTATCAAGTATAAAATTCAATGTAGAGAATGAGAGAAGAGAGCAGAAAAGCAACTGGGAGCCAGGATACAAAAGCCTCATGTGCTGTGCAAGTCACTTAGACATTATCACAGCCATTAAAGAATTTTGAACAGGAGAATGTCCTCATCAGACATGTGTGTAACCTAGCTCACTCCGGGGATAGTTTAGAGATGGATCGGAGGGAATCAAGACTGGGAACAGGGAGATCCACTGGAGGGATGAAGTGGAAGTAAGACTCTAGACCTGGGCAGAAGTGAGCCATTGAAAGCTAAGGGGGGAACCAAAATGAGGCAATGTCCTAGAAGAGAAGGGAGCTTTGGGATGCTATCAAGAGATCTGAGTTCCAGTCCCAAATCTGTCATTAATGTTCCCCTTTTTGGACCTCAGTTTCCCCAAGTGTAAAATGGGAGGATCCTCCCTGTTGATTACTGTTGCTTCACATTTCTCTTACTATTGCATTGAAAACCAAGTGTGTAATATTTGGAGGAGTACCTATGGATCAGCCCTTAGAAAAATAGGGAAAGAGGCAATCTTGGCCTTTAGCTTTCTCATGAAAGCTCCCCACAGAGTATCAAGCACCAAGACAGGCTGTGTTGGGGAGATGGAGGGGTTCCCTGCTACTGGGACCTACATTAAGGGTTCTGTTAGTATTTGACAAAGACTATCAAGGACATTAAGTGCTGGCCTAACTGTTAGCATTTCTCCTTGTAATAGTAATGACATTGATAGAGTGCTAAGGATTTGCTAGCCACAGTTCTAGGCATGTTATGTGCATTATTTCATTCAGTCTTCACTATGGTCCTGTAAGGTATGTACCATTCTTATTCATATTGTATAGATGAAAAAACTAAGATCCAGAGAGATTAAGTAATTCTCCATGGTAGGAAGCAGAAATGGGGTGCAAACTCAGGCACTCTGCTGAGTCTCTAGTCTTAAACAATTATGCCCTAGTGCCTTTCATGTCAGATGGCCATCATAGCTAACGTTTCCCTTATGTGTTCTGATTGAGCAGCTCAAAAAAATTATACAGGTAATACAGCCTTCTGAGAGGTGTGGCCTCGACTGAGCATAGAACTTGGAGTCAAATAGAGTGAAAGTTGTCATCTGGATCTATCAGCTGCTGACTCTGTGACTTGGGAAATTTACTTCCCCTCTCTGATCATCAGTTTTTGTGTCTGCCAAAGAGGCGATAACAATTGCATCGATCACAGGGTCATTGTGAAGAGTAAATTTCAAAATGTTTGTAAAGCTTCTAAAACAATAGATGTCCTACAGCGTCATCACCATCATGATCATTATTGTGATGTTTGTTAATAAGGGACCAGCTTGACTTGGGGAAGTTATAAGGTTGAGTTCAAAGCAGGAAGACCTAAAAACTGTTTCTTGAGAATGTTCTGCATTCCCAATTGCCAACAGTATGTATCATATAGTAAATGCACTTGGGGAACACATCCTGGTTACAAATCCAAGCTTTTTGCTATTCCTGCTCTGCTTCTTAAGCAACAAATATGGGGTAAAGATGTAACAACATTATGTCCTTACAAGTTTGTGTGGCTTTTTTAAAATAACAGCTTATTGAACTGAAAAAAAAGTTCCCTTTCCTTTTTGTTCCTTTCTACTGATACAGCTGTTTTTCAGTCTTCCCTCCTTTAATCTTTTCCTGCTGGGTTTTGTTGTTGTGTTTTGTTTTCAGATTCCGCCTCTCTTTGCCAGAGTCCAATCGCAGCAATATTGAGGTAGGAATCAGAGCTCTGAGTTTCCCATTCAGGGAAAAATGAGAATTCTCCTATACAGTAACTGGGTGATTGTTTTCTGTGCCCTCTGAGTATGGGTTTTAACTTTAAAATTATTTATGTAGCTACTCATCCACCAGCCCCATTAACTCTTAAACAAAAGGGGAACTCTCCAATTCACTTTTACCTATTCAAAAAGACTTTTAAAGAAACTCAAAAGACCGTTAAGACATTGTGTAATGTTGGGAAAAAATACGGATATTTTCAAGGACATTTCATTTTTTGGATAAAAGAATCCTCTAGAGTTAAACTTAAGATTCAGACTACCAAAGGATGATGCTATATGTGAATTATTAGGCTGTGGTTAGGTTTGTTCTTCGAAATCTTTCTACCTGTCTCCTAAAATTAGGTCAGGGCTGATTGTGTAGATGCCTTTGGGGAGGGGCAGCCTGGTGACCTCCTGATTAGAAAAGGTCATCCCAACGTGCACTTGGAAACCACCCCTCTAGGCATCAAGAAGATCAGCCAAATCACTAATCAGTGTCCCTGCTCTTGTGCTGCTTATGTTCTAGAGCAGTGATTCTCAACAAAGGGCCAACTAAGGTCAACTTTGCTCCCCACTCCCAGGGACATTTGGCAATGTTTGAAGACATTTTTGAAAAAATGGCAATCGTATATACCAGGCATTTTTTTACATAATATTAACTTGTTTAATCCTGATAACAACCCTTTGAGTTTAGTACTATTATCTTCATTTTGTAGTTGAGGACACTGAAGCACAGAGAGGTTAAGGAACTTTCCCAACATCACCCAGTAAAGTAGTAAAAACAAGAGATAAACCTAGGAAGTCACCTATTCAGAGCCACCCTTGCTAAGTTGCTAAGAGGTTCTTATTCTCGCTAAGCAAATAGGATGGTCAAAAAATATTCATTGAATGAATTGATGTTCATTATAGTCTATTTGTTTTTAAGACCTGAAGCTTCCCAAGGACCAGCACTTTGCTGAGATTATACAACTACCATAGTTTATTAAAAATAAATTGGATGTTCCAGTGATGCCATTAACTATAGAGCATCACATAATACAAGGAAACTCCTGTGGCCAGGGTTCCCAATAAATTAATGGAAGACTACTAACTGAGATATCTGTTAGTCGTTCTAGATTGTCTAACCTGGTGGATATCTAAGCTGCCATGTAATCCCTCTGCATTTGTTGTCACCATGATCTTGTGTAGAGAGGAGCAGAAATGTCCATCCTCAAAGAGGAAAAAAGATTAGGAAACTCTGTAAAATGGTTTCGCACAAAATAGCTTTCAGTGTCTGGGAAGCTAGAACATCTCTATGGGGAGATTCTAATTATTGCTCTCAATCCTGATAAGGTCTGGGAGAGTGCATGTCCAAACCAGGTATGGTACTTTCAAAATGCCCTGATTTAGTAACTGATTCATTTTCCCTTTTCATTTTAGGTCTTGAGGTTTGAGAATATTCTGTCCTCCATTCTCCACTTTGGTGTCCTCCCCCTGGCCAACGGTAAGGGACTCCTAGGAAACAATGTGACTCTGACATTGGCTAACTGTTGGGGATTGTCTGGGACTTTCCATCCTGAAGCTTATACTTTTAACGTGTAATTATGAATCCAGGCCAGAATTTACAAAGTTTGTACCATCTACACTATGATTTCAGAATTAGATATTCCAGGTCTAAGCCTTGTTTAACAAATCTACTTAACAGACGCAGTAAGAATGGCTGGCTAACCCTGGTTGAGTTAAGGAGATTAAAACCGCTCTCCTTAGACAGTCAAGTCTCCTTTGGGTCAGCTAGAAATGAGATTATGCTTCCTAGAAGGTGTCTCTGTGGTTCTTATGCAAAGACCACTATCTGGACAGACATGGTTTTAATGAATGACAATCCTAGGCCTTCTCCCTACACCGCAATTATTCACAAACTGTAGCATCTTGAATTTGGCTTGGTTAAAATATGTTTTATATTAGAGACCAAAATATTCTCAGGACCCACTAATTAAGGTATTTTCAAAGTACAAATTGGATGAGTTGCCAGCATTTTTCTGCCATCCAAATGCACATAATTGCAGGTGCATTTTTATTAAGTAGAGATTAATTAGCCATTCTGTCAGGGAGATGCTAGGGACATATCAGAGAGACTGAAAACACAGAACCAGGAAGAATAGAAAGATTAATTATAAAAAAGCTGCTTGTTAGTCTCTTCCTATAAAGATTACCAAGTCTTCTGTGCCTGTGCCCAGTTATTTTACATCTCGTTCTATATTTTAGCAAAATTGCAGCAAGGACTTCCTCTGCCCAAACCACACAAAATCTCACTCGTCAATTCAGATATTGAAGTTCTTGAGGTAAGGGTTATCTTAATTGCCCCATTTCCTTTCATAGCAGAATGTGCCTCTTCCTATTTTGCTTACTTTTTGTTTTATTTTGTTCTGCTTTGTTTTTTCCCAGCCCAAGGAATTTTATAAACAAGATGTTTAGCTCTTAAAGCTCACAATTAACAATGAAAAGCACTTAAATTTGAGTTTAAAAATCAGATTAGGTCTCATTTTCCTTTACAACCAAATTTATTCAGCCCACAGCACAAGAAGATGCACTGGTGTACTTTATTTCATTCATTCCACAAGATAACCTGTAAGGCTGGGATTCCTAGTCCCATTTCATAGATGAGGAAAGTAAGACTCAGGGAAGTAAAGTGGCTTATGTAGCTGGAAAAAGGTATAGCTGAGACCAGACTGGCTCCTCTGATTCTCTCAGCAAACTTTTGCCTGAACCAAAGACCCTACTCTGGGTTCAGGGATCTGTTGTGAGCTGTCTCCTGGTTAATCATTATTAACAAGCTTCGGAATACCTTGTTTCTTCCTTTCTGATGCTTTTTGGTTTGGGGAGATGGACATAAGATTCTGACGGAATTCTCCAATCCTATATATTACTCTGCACTCCCTCTTTGCTCCCTATGTCCCCTTCTATAATTGACTAAGTCACATAACGTGTCAGTAATCCAAAATGACCTGTTCCTATGTCTGAGGCACTCACAAGGGGGTCAGGGTTAAGGGAGGATGTGACACAGTAGGACCTGGTAAAGAAACCATGTCCCCCTTACCTCTCAGGCAAACCCAGACATCCTATGGCTGCAAGCGCCCCAAGTTTGACGTCATCTTCTTCCTTTTCAGGATTTCCTTTTGATTTCTACCGACCTGAAGTATGAAACGTCCTTAAAGCAGCAGCCAAGTTTCCATGGTTGGGAAGGTCTGAACCTGATGAGTGGACGGTGGAGGGGAAAGCCAGCCCCTTGATTGTTTGTTTGGAGTCTACTCCAGGAAGTAAAAAGCCCTTAATCCCACAGCTCCTGTCAACCCAGAGCGGGAAAACAGTACACACTGGAGTTGTAAAGCCCCTGTGAACTGCTGAAAGTTTTCTGTTTTCAAGCCCTCAGGGACAAAGAGGGTGGCAAACTGGGTGAAAGAGCTAAATTGGGATGTGTGTGTGTGTGTGTGTGTGTGTCCCCATCTGTGTGGAGAGTGAACACATATTTGAATGTGTGTTCATGTTTGAGGGCATGTTGTATATTCCTGTGTCTATAAGATTCTGGGGCCAAGAGTGAGGCATATACTTCCAAGGAGGTACATGAGAAACTCTGAAGTACAGGTTTGTTATCGGTTGTTATCAGTGGAGATTCCTTCAGCCCTTTCAGCTCTCTAGGGTTCCCCTCTCCCTGCATATTGGATTTTATCTTTTATATTTACTGTTACTATCCCATGTATTTAAAATTGTTTTCTATCAATGTCAGCTTTGTCTTTTTATTTGCAAAATTTCCTGCCCCTGATTTTTTTAATAAAATAAGATAGGGGAAAAGGAAGAGAATTTAATCTCCTTAATGTTAACACAAATTGAGGTTGTACAGATTTCTAGGATTAATTTAAAAAGGGAATATGTTATCTCTCAAGATGGTTCCAGTGAAACAGGATGATCCCAGGAAACTCTGGAAGTTGTATTACTTCTTTAAGTTTTAGGCTGTTTTCCATCCCAAATTAAGTGAAATGGCAGTGCAGAATACTAAACATAGATAATTCAGAGTTGATTAATGTTGTTAGAGCACCTAATCAATGGGACAAAATTGGGACAGAAGAGATAGAAAGGGGAACCGGTATGGATAATGTAAGAAATGAACAGAAACCACAAACTTTGCTTTGTGACTGACACTGACAATCCAGTGGGTGAGTGGAAGAGCTGTTTACTGGAGGGCTTACCAAGTCCTATGCTGATTACTTCCCAAGGGTCATTTCACTGAATCCTCACAGCCACTCTGTGGAGAATTATGATCCCACTTCATAGAAGAGGAAACAAAGATTAAAAGAGATGAATCACACAAAGCTGGTAAACAGCAGAGGTACAAATTCAATTCAAGCCTTTCTGATCCCAAAGTCATTGTTCTTCACATGAGGCAGAACCTGAGAGCAGTTAAAGCTCACTCATTACTGTGAAGAAAAGACACTGCATATAAAAGCGCGATCATGGAGTACTTAGTCATCAAAGAGGGCTAACCTGGGAAGCCCTGACTATCTATAGGGACTGCGATTTACTTATCTTTGTATTGCTCACCTGGCCATAATAGATGCCCCTATCTGTTACGTGTTAGTGGAATAAATGATAAACTGTCACGTCTCATTCTCTGGAATGCTCTTTTCTTTCTTTCTTTTTGGAATGCTTTTTTTCTGACATAAAAGTTATTTAATGTGTATCCACAAATTCATTCTGAAACATTACAAATTTTCCGTAGTGGTATTTATTTTATTTTTCGTTTTCGTTTTTCGTTTTCTTTTTTTTTTTTTTTCCGTAGTGGTATTTATTTAAACATGTTTCTTGTTCTCGGTTGCGGACATCTCTTTCCCCTCACGGCTAGGGGTGTAAACTACCAGCAGTTGTATTCATAAGAATAGTTGGACTTGATCCAGATTCAGTGTGCTTTTCAGAGCTGAAAAGCATTTCCAAAACGATAACTAGGTCATAGTTAAAAATACTGGATTTAGCTTAGCTTTAGCCTACAAGAGAATAACTAGTGAACATCCAAAAATGTAAACACTAGAGGCAGTCTATCTTAACGCCATAAAGAAAAAAGAAAAGAAAACAAAAGAAAAAAAGCGATTTGTGCAATGAGTTTTGAGCCTCGGTTCTTCCCGTCGCCCGCCCTGCCGCGAAGCCGGTCGCGCCTGCGCGTTGAATTCTGGAAGGCGGAGTTTCAGTCAGCGGGACAACGCGGCAGCGGCTCTTCTAAGCGAAGCCGGGAGTCTTCGCCACCGTTGTCACCGCCATGAGTCGCAGTTATAACGATGAGCTGCAGTTCTTGGAAAAGATCAATAAAAACTGCTGGAGAATCAAGAAGGGCTTCGTGCCCAACATGCAGGTGAGGCGGGGGAGTGGGACGGTGTCGGGGCCTTCCTGGCTGAGGCCCGCGGCGCCTCCCTCCTCACCCGGCTGTGCCTGGCCGGGCTTCCTCAGACCCCTCCTGACTCCTTTTTCGCTGGGGTCTACCCCGCCCTGCCCCGAGTAGAGTTTCTTTCATCCCTCAACTCTCACCCCACTGCCCCTCCCGCCTCCGGAGATGGCTAACCCCTACCCGCCGCTTCTCCCCGCTGGAGCGGTCCTGAACCGTGAGAACACGCAAAGCGGAGCAAGTCTAGGGAATCCAAGTAAATATGGAATTGGCCTTTGCAAAGTGTTTTCTCATATAAGTCTCATAAACGCACCGTGAGATGTGTTACATTCCTAAGCCTTAGGGACGTTAGTGGTCTTTTTCTAGGTGGCACATCCAGTCCGAGGTAGAGTTGCTGGGACTGAGCTCCGTTCCTCTGAGTCATGCTGGTCATTTATGTAACGTTCACGGACCTGTAGTCGCTGAACTAAGTTTTTAGCGTTCACTGCTCCATGTTGTTGTTTTTTTTAATTGACACGTCGGTTTTTAATAAAACGGTGGGTTTTTTTTTTGGCAACAAGGAAAGTTCATAGGGCAGGGTTTGTTTTCAGTATGCACTTTGCAGAAGGGCCTTGAAGATCAGTCAGTTACACAGCTTCCTCTACTCAACTAAGACTTAAGGCCCAGTTCCCTTCTTTTTTCTCTGACAGGATGATGTATTCCCAATGGAGACTTGGGAGCTCAGTACCAGAGAGTTTGAAAGCCTGGGCTCACTGTATCTCTTGGGCTTCCTTGCCATTTGTGCTCACTATCTTCCATTAAAGCGAGGAAAGAAGACATTTGTGAGATTTTGATGCATACATTGTTAGATAGATTTTGACATCCCTTAAGATGCCCTGCAAATGTACTGAAGGTTTGTAATCTTGTGTCTTGGTAAAAGTTCCTGATCACTGCCCCACCCTTTTACTCAATATTAAAATTTGTTGAGTGTCCCCTGTGAGCAAAGCTAGACACTGAAAGCGAAAAAAGCCCATAGTCGTAAAGCTACCTTTTGCTGTTTTTTTATTTGGCCATTTTATGTTTATGGAATCTGGTTCCCTGAATGAAAGAGTAGAAAATAAAAAGCATATGATCATCCTGAGAGGACTGTAACTCACACTGTCATGATCTTGCAGCAATTCTGGCTTAACTTTTGTTGCCCGTACTGCTAATTCTGCATAGGAGCAAGTCTGATATTGCTAGACAGTTCTGGTTTAACTATTTGAACACTTTACTACCACCTCTCCTTTGTGAATGGAGAGTTGAAATCTTGATATGGCTCTTAAAAAGTTACTGACTTTGGTGCTAGGCTTGAGTTGTATTCCCATGTTCATAAGATCAGTGAATTTCACATTTATAGTGCTCATATATCTGTTACTTAATCTGCATTCCCCTGTAAGACCCATGTACTGTGCTAAAAAAAAATTCCTCTTTGTTCCTTAAAAGCACTTCTCTCCCATCTTTGCATTCAGCTCTTAAATGTGTTGCTGCTCCAGTAATGTCTCTTGCCTTTAAAGAGCCAGCACAAATAGTGTTCACAAAAAGTGAACAAACTGAAGGCACTCCCCGACTGCCCCACTTTCCTAGACTGTTACACCCCTTCTTCCTCAGATTCTTCCATAGCACTTCTGTTACAGCACTTGCCTTATTGCACTCTACATTTTCTAGTCTGGGCTGCATCCTAGACTGGAAGCTTTTCAAAAGCAAGATCTTGCTTCTTCTCTGTGTCTCCCCTGCTGCCCAGCATGTTGCCTGGCCCATAATAAGTGCTCAATAAATGGTGAATTAATATTTGTGGCCCTTTCAAAAATTGTGTTGAAGACGCTTTCCATCAACTGGTGGTGTTATTCATGGAGTGGTAAAAAGCAGATGTCATCTTTCTGATAAATAAGTGACCTTGTCCAGATGACCAGTCTTTGGTTCTTCATTGCTAGGCCGATCCTACATAGTATTTGGTCTCTGATGAAAATGTTCTGGCCTTTGGTGTTACGTAATTGTACCTTTCATTGCCTCTTGTGTGCCTCTATTATCAAGTTTTTTTATCCTCTTAAAGTTATGTGTATTATAAAACTAAGCACACAGCCATATAGCTACCTGTTAAAAATTTTTTTACTCACTGTTTACCTAAGTACAGATTTGTAAATCAGCATAGGACACAGTGAAGTGTAGTGTGCTGTTGTCTCAGACACAGCAAAAGTACACTTTAGTCAGATGAGTGCATTTTTATGTTTAGATCTTGAGATTTTGATTCATTTATTTTTTTCAAAACCTACTGTTATTTTAATTTTTTTTAATGGAGGTAACTGGGATTGAACCCAGGAACTTATGTGTGCTAAGCATGCACTCTACCACTGAGCTGTACCCTCCCCCCAAAACCTACTGGTATTTTAGAAGTACAAGAATACTGAGACCTTTGGCCTTAGTGAGAGCATTGTTGGAAGACTTTTTTTTATCACACACCCCAAAAATATTTTACCTATTGAGCTCTTAAATATGGCTTTGAAAGTAGAAGAATAAAATGATTTGTGAACATTGCAAAACACATTTTTTAAGATATATTTAAAGATGGGAACATCTTGTAATTTTTGATAGGAACTTTTCTGCTTGTTTAAGGTAGCATGAAGGTGTTTTATAAAGAGTAAAGGAAAATAAATATTGCATACAGTGTTTATTTTATATCAGGTACATGTGCTCAGACATAATTTTTCTTTTTCTTTTCTGCCAGGTTGAAGGAGTTTTCTACGTGAATGATGCTCTGGAAAAATTAATGTTTGAAGAATTAAGGAATGCATGTCGAGGTGGTGGTAAGTAGATTAGAGTTTTACATGTGGCAGTGCAAGTTGTGTCTGTCTACCCTATGGACTGAAAAATGGTAATTCAAATAATTATAATTTAAAATTACAAAAATATTGTCAAGGAATAATCAACATTTGAAATGAGACCAAAAACCTGTTAATTATTTATGATCATATTGTTAACCACTTGGCCTTGTAGAAAGCTTCTGGAGCTGTGTGTACCTGGTTGGTTTTGCGTCTAACCTTAGACAATAATAAAAAGAGCTACCATTTGTTGTGCACTTACTATGTGTCAGCTACATTACATAGATTATCTCGTGTAATGCTTACAGTAACTTGTAAGAGGAATATATCTCCATTTTACAGGTGTGTAAGTCAAGGCTCAAAGAGATTGAGTCATTTTAATTTGTCTAATGTTGCACAGCTTCTCAGTGACAAAACCAGGATGAAGATCCAAGAGTGTCTGATTACAAAGTCAATACTGACTAGCCTCATTGAACTTCAGTTTTCTCATCTATTAAAGAGAGTATATTACACCTATTTTTTGCAGAACTATGGAGAAGTTTAGAGATAAATGTATAAAACTCTGATACATTCTAATGGTGATGGTGGAATAAAAATCTGGTTTTAACCCTTTAACTTTTTTTTTTAACATTTTTTATTGATTTATAATCATTTTACAATGTTGTGTCAAATTCCAGTGTTCAGCACAACCCTTTAACTTTTTAGGTCAACAAATTAAATCCCACTCCCCTCCCTACCAGGATATGCTGACTTGTCTAAAATGACATGCAACCAAGTAACAGCTGAGACTAGAACCCCACATCCCCTGACTCTCAATCCAGTTTCTCCAGCTCTTCCACATTGCCCATCTTTGTCGCTTAGTATAAAACCAGTATTTATTCTTTCTGATAAGTAATATGAACTGTTGAAAGAATGCTTTTTTTATATTGACAACACAAGGTGTAATAATTATGTTTTATATCTCCCAGTACAGTATTTGCAAGCACCCCTCTCATGGTATGCGCAGAGCACTAACAGCACATTTGTAGTTAGTCTGTTGCTCTCACTGCCTTTCTGTGTATATGCTGCCTTCTTTCCCACTTCATCTCAAGCACCCTTTTGTGCTTTGTTGTTTTGGTAGTCCTAACCTCTATCCTTTATTTAACACGATCTAGAAAATTATGAATATACTTCACTAAAAATCAATTGTGTCCACTTTGCTAATATTGAAATTTTGTCTTCAGGTGTTGGTGGCTTCCTACCAGCCATGAAACAAATTGGCAATGTGGCAGCCCTGCCTGGAATTGTTCATGTGAGTCCATGTTCAGAGCTTCAATCACTTACAGTTTTTTTTAGTCTGAAAGTTTGTTAAATGGATGAATAGCCGTACCTAACTGATAGTGGTCATTCAGACAGCGACCTTCAAATATCTAGAAATAACCATGGGATTTAAAAGAAATAATTGAGTCCAGGTAACATCTCAGTTTCTAGTTGCCTTTGGCTGGAATCCATGTGTTTGAGAATCTTTGAAGATTTTATTTTCTTGTTTCTTATTGTAGTACACATTGTTCCTGGATCAGTGTACCACCATTGAAGGTTTCACTGTGGCCCCATTCCAGAGGGTGATTGAGAAAGAATAGAAAAAGTTTAAGAGTTAAAACTGAGGGGAGGGAGGGAGGACAGTATAGCTGTTCTGAACATGACTGGAAAAAGAGGGTTGTTGTGGTAACAGGGTTAGCACTGAATGGTACACGTGAGGCCTCCACCGCAGTCTAACATTCAGATTCCACCATTAGAGGTAGACATTAAATCTATTTAACAGACTTTTTTTGAGGTCTTTATGCCAGCTGATATCCTGGGTACTTGGAAGAAGAAATGAAAAGACATAGCTTGGATATTTCAGAGTCTAGGTGACTGTTTATATCCTTACCATGATTGGCCTCCGTTATTCCTGGGTCAGGATCCTTTTCTAGGCCCCAGATACAGAAAGTGTACAGTTTTCATACCATCAAATGGATTACTTTGTCTATGGTTGTTTAAACACTAAGACCCTGTGTAGATTGGGTACTTAAACTCTTGTCAACCTGACACAACCACAATTTGTCAGTGTCTAAAGATCATCTTTAAAATGTAATAATATATTAAAGTTAGTATGTGTTCCTCCTGTATCACGTTGTACTGAGGCTTTTTTGTTTTCAATTTTCTTAGTTAATGGTCAGACTTTATTTAAAGGCTTTTCTCACTATGTTTAGCTTTATGATTAGGAGTTTTTGCACCTGATTTCCACCAATAGAGAAGATTTCATAAAAACAAAATCTTAATTTGTTAAAGGCTTCAGCCCCCAGCCTATTTGAGTGTTAGTATCAGATCCATTAGGCAACCAGAGTGCCAGTTTGAGAAAGCTGTATATCATTTTCTAATTCTCTTTCAGCGATCCATTGGGCTTCCTGATGTCCATTCAGGCTATGGGTTTGCTATTGGGAATATGGCAGCCTTTGATATGAATGACCCCGAAGCAGTGGTATCCCCAGGTAAGGTCACTGTGTGTGTCTGCTGTCAGATGTGTAGCTTCTCTCTGAATCATAGCCTTTCTGAAATAGAGCACAGCTGCTTTTTGTGTATGTATGTCAGCCTCATCATCCTCTATCATTTTTTTTCCCTCATTTGCTGAGAGAATTAATGGTAGACACTCAGAGGCTATAAAAATATCAAGTAAAGCATATATTTATTGAAAATTATTTGAGCTCCTACTATATGCCAGGTACCGTTCAGACATTTGCTGCAAAACAAACTGAAACACTTCCCTGGCAAATTAGGTTTCTTTTTTGTGTTTCAGCTACCTCTGGAGCAAACTGGAGCTAATAATGTTACCACATAGCATTATTGTGAGAATTAAGTGAGATAAGCTGTGTTATTATACTTAGAACAGTGTACATATACTTATGTGCTTAATATATTATATATAATATAATACATTATATACTTAATATACTTAGAACTAGGCACATAGGGGTACTTGGTAAGTGTTTGCTCTCAGTATCATCATTATTTACTTCTGGTTGTACACTTCTCTTCTGCTGTGGAGTGTTTTCACTGAAAAGTATTTCACACCAGAAGTTATATCTTTGTTTTCAGAATATGGAAGAAGAAAAACAAAAAAAGTTTAAAATATCTTGAGAGTTTTGCCTTCCGCAGTGGCAGACAAAGTCATTTCAGACCAGTCCTCTGCCAAGAATAATGAGAAAGGCTGTGTGAAATTTTTAAAACAAAACAAAAACCAAAAACATATCAGTTGAAACAGTAAAAATTTGTGAGGCCAAGATCCAGAGGGAAAACAGACATACATGAGCCCAGCGTTTATTAGAACTGTTTTTATCTGGAGGTAATGGCAGATTTCAATCAGTAAGGATACAGATAATTTGAACAATCCAGTTAGCAAACTCGACACCTTGACCTCTTATACACATGTGTGGTTGTATGTGCACTCACATTGCAGTGCATCCAAGAACTGTAGAATACACTTTCTGTTTTTCAAGTACACACAGAATGTTCATGAAATTTGACCATGTGCTGAGCCATGAGGCAGGTCTCAAATTTCAAAGAATTGAAATCGTAGAGAGCAATTCTCAATTCTGACGTCAAGACCCCTTTATGTTCTTAAAAGCTATTGAGGGTTGATCTCAAAGGCTTTTATGATCAATGTTTGCCTTATTAGAAATTAAAACTCAGAAATTTTTAAAACAATAATACGCAAGTACATGTTTCATTATCCATCAGAGCAAACATGTTATCACATAGCATGTAGCCTTTGGAAAACTTCACTGTACACTAGAGAAAGTAAGTTTAAAAGGCTAAAAATGTCTTAGCATTCTTATACAATTAATCTTATAGATCTGAAAGGATCTCTGGACCACACCTATATAGAGGATAGTATCCTGTCACAGTGGAATTAGGTTAGAAGTCATTAACAACAACAATAATAACCAGGAAAAAAACATGTTTATAAATTAAGCAATATACATTTAACCCATGGGTCAAAAAATCATGATGGGAGCTATAAGATAATTTTAACTGATGTTAATTTAAAAATACCTGTCTAAAAATGTGTTACTGTTAATGCCATACTTGGATAGAAATATTTAGCCTTCAATGCACAAATAAGAAAAGAAGAAAGGCTGTAATATCAATGATCTAAACATCCATCTCAAAAAGTTAGAAAAAGAACAACGAATTAAGCCCAGAAAAGGTAGGAAGATGGAAATAATTAAGAGCAAAATTAATGAGACAATATACAGTGGAAAGGATCAACAAAGCCAAAAGTTGGTTCTTTCAAAAGACTAGTAGAATTCATAAACCCCTGACAAGAGTGATCAAGAAAAGAGAAGCACATCATTCACATTTTGGTCTCTGGTCCAGATGTTACTTGTTCATTACTGCCTCCCTGGCCCACGGAGTGCCTTCAGTATGTAAGTTATTTAAATTGTTTTGGTGTCATCAGACTTTACCCACAGAGAAACACTTTGTTGGCTACTTTTTTAAGTGAAAGCAAGTTTATTTAGAAAGATACACATCCCATAGATAGGATGCAGTCTGTTTCAGAAGGGAGAGCAGCCTTGTTGGCTACTTTAAAACATAATTATCTTTAAAAGAATGGCTGTCTTTTAAACCCTATATTAATGGTGGGAAACCACAGGTAACAATGCCCAACTGCCTGGTCTTGCTAACATTTGGCTAATTTTTCTCTGTTTTATAGGTGGTGTCGGATTTGACATCAACTGTGGTGTCCGCTTGCTAAGAACCAATTTAGATGAAAGTGATGTCCAGCCTGTGAAGGAGCAACTTGCCCAAGCTATGTTTGACCACATTCCTGTTGGGGTGGGGTCAAAAGGTGTCATCCCAATGAATGCCAAGTAAGAGCAAAAGTTTCCAATAAATGGAGTGAGGGAAATAATAACCACATAACCTTCACATCCATTTCCAACGCAGGATGCTTAGGAGATGGGCATTGTTCAGTCACTTTTCAGAAGTGATAATGAATTTTTTTTTAAGCATGAGGTCCAGAACATTTATTAGACACATTAGTCAACTCCTGTTTATCATGACAGCCTTTGACATATAGTAGAATTTATAATAGAGTAATTTACACTCATGTTTACTGAGCACTTCCTATATGCAGGGCACTGTGCTGTAGTGTATATGTATCATTTTGTCTAGATAATAACCCTAATGTCCCTAATTTACAATAAAGGAACAAGTTTAAAGAGATAATAGTAAATAAGCTAGTAAGTAAAGTCAGGATTCAAACCAAAGATCCTTTGGCTTCAGAGGCTGTATTCTGACCCCACTGCCCTTTTTAGTGAACCAGTATTTATCAATGACCTTCCTTTTTGAATGATAGCACTGAATATGTTCTTTACATAAGATGTCATGTACTTCCAAAGTAGAGAATTAAGTGTAAGTCTACAACGTAACTGCCTTTTAGATGGCCGTTGTTGCACTGTGTCATAGCTCACGTAAAGCTGTGCACCTTACACTTTGCAGAAGGGTGTACTTAAGAAGTATGTATCTTTAATATTTACTGTTTAAGGTTCATGTGAATTTTGCATTCTATTCAAACATGTACAGACATTAATATTAAAATATTTTTAGCTATTACCTGTTATTCTATAACTCCTCTTTACAAAAAAAAAAATAAGTTGGAGTAAAATTGATACATTTGGAAGATGCTTATTCTGGGATTTTATGTGGTCCCTGACATGCAGTCCCACTTTGAAAAGCATACCCGGAACATCTAAATAAATTCCAAGCATCTTTACATATATTTTAGATAAGAATTTTGTCCTAATAAGTAATGTTTGAAATAAGTTGTAGTAAGGAGGGCACATTGATCATTGTAATCTCATAGTGTTTTGGAAGAGGGCTGGACCTTAGGTGAGAATCAGAGCTTTTTCCTTCTAGGTACTTAATGTGTATGTACCTAAGCTTCAAAATGCAGGTGCGATAAAGCTACACAATACTTCTGTGAAGGTGGGAATAGACCTTAAAATTTAACCTGTGTTGTCTGAGAACACTGAAGATAGCTTTATTTATTAATTGTAACTTTCATAAGTTACTATATATTATATATTATAATAATATATACATTATGATATATATTATAATTAGCATATATATTATATATGATAATATATATTATAATAACTTATGAAAAGTTAGTGTGGCTTTGGTAAAGTTAGTGGCAGGTAATGACATTTGATTATGGTTATAAATTTTCTGTGACTGCTTAATCACTACCTCATAGAATTCAGGATCAGAGAGGCAAATCTGTTGTAAATAAGATTTGAAAGTTATGAGGGGCTGTATAATGTCAAGAACTAAAATTATTATTGATATGGCATTTTTTGTTTTATATTGCAGTTATTTTTGTAACTGCTTTCTTCGAAAAACTAGAGTTGCTGAGAGCATGATCTGTATCTAGCATGATATGTGATACACAGACAATAGTCAGTAGATGTAGTGCTTTCCTCTGTCCTTTGAGATGTGGTCATCCTTAGGTTTTAATCTTTGGCTGTGAAATGACGTGCACCTTGTTACTCAGAGACTTGGAGGAGGCCTTGGAGATGGGTGTGGACTGGTCCCTAAGGGAAGGTTATGCCTGGGCTGAAGACAAGGAGCACTGTGAGGAGTATGGAAGGATGCTGCAAGCTGACCCCAACAAGGTCTCTGCCAGGGCCAAAAAACGAGGCCTTCCCCAGGTAACACAAACTTTGGATGGGAAACATGTTCATATTTTTCATGTTTTGTTTTTGTTGGGGCAGGGGGGAATGTGTCTTCCATGTGCCAGATGTATCCCCAGGTTTTTTCAAAGTACATCAAAAACAGCACAAATTTGTTTATGCTTCATTCTTACTCTTTTAAAAAGCTATCAGGAGCTTGCAGATGTTCATAAAATAAAACAAGATATGAATTAGAAGTGGATGGGAGGGAAATGAGTTATGATTATAAGGCTTATTAAAATATATGCCAAAATTGCATATGTACATATTTTGACAATCTACAGATTTGGCTGAAAGTTTTCTGGCATCTGAGATGAAAACAAATACCTTGTCAGTTCATAGTGTTCATGAGGTAAAAATATACCAGATATTTGAAATTTACAGCTAATTGTGATGGCTTTGCCACTAATCACTGTGACCTTGGGCAAGCTTCTTTCGCCTGAATAGGTCTTATTTTTTCATCTGAAAATTGAGATAGTTATAATTAGACAAACTCTAAAGACTCTTCCAGCTCTGCCATTCTCTGGGTCCCTAAATCATCTATTAGCTCTAGTTATGGGGTATGTTTTTTCAATGATGGATAGTGGTAGGTGTCAATGAACTCATAGATATTTCAAAAATCATTTGAACTTGAACCTTGTGTAAGAGTCAGTATTCATCAGAGTTCATCCCAAAACTTGACCCTTCCCTCCATGATGTTTAAATTGTCCTTTGAGCTATTTGATGGTCTGAGTTTTGGCTTATGAAGCTTTTAATATGTTGTACTTGAAGCAGATAATGATATAATAAACTTCAGAAACTGCTCTACATTATTTTAATTATATGGAATATTAGTGTAAATGAATGAAGCATTTCTAAGGCTTAGAAATTTTTTTTAATAAAACACTATTTGTGTGTGGGTTTTTTTGGTTGTTTTTACTTTTTTACTTTTTAAATGTTTTTTTAACTGGAGTAAAATCTATTTTATTAATTTCGCATTTGCAGTTGGGGACCCTAGGAGCAGGCAACCATTATGCAGAAATCCAGGTTGTGGATGAGATTTTCAATGAGTACGCAGCTAAGAAAATGGGCATCGACCATAAGGGACAGGTGTGTGTGATGATCCATAGTGGAAGCAGAGGCTTGGGCCACCAAGTAGCCACAGGTATGTTCTGGGCTTGATTTTTGGCTTGATGTTAAAACATACATTTTATGGGAACTATATAGATTTAAAGGAGAAGCTCTGGAACTGTACCATGTAGTTCTCCTGGTTCCCCGAACAATGTGACTTTTAACAAATTAACTTCATTGGTCCTTAACTTCCTTGTCTGAAAAAAATGGGAATAATAATTATTTCATATGGTGTTGTCAGAGGTTCCAGTTATTATGTTTACTCTGCAGATTACTCTTACTATCTGGCTAAGAAAGGGCAATAAAGACCTTAAATTGTAGAGATTATGGTATGTGCAAATATGTCTTGGATAGCTGTACTGCAAAATTAGATGTTACACTGGATTCAGTGATGATAAAGCAGGGACTCTGCCCTCAAATTGTCTCATGAGAGAGATGTCATGTTCATTAAAAAGAAAAAGTAAAGACAAGGTGGTAACTGTTAAAATCCTATAGAATGGACAAAATAAAGGGTTTAGGGAAAAGATTTTGGAGATGACTTCATGGGCACATAAATAACATTTGCAGTTTGGACAATCACACCCATAGGACATTCATGACCAAAAGACAGCATGAACAAAAGCAGGAGGAAGGGAAGTAGTAGAAAGGTTACTTTGGACTATTTGTAGATGTGTGAAAGGATTTATGAATATATGAAAAGTTATAATGAGCACATGAAAGTTATCGTAAACTTTAAATTGCAATTACAGTTCATTCTTGTATATATATTTCATTTTGGGGGAATCTCATAATTTGTGCCAACCTGGCCTGTTAGAATTTCTAGTCTAGCAAATATATGGAGCATTGACTAGTATTTCGGAACTTTCTACTGAGTATTTCTCTACACTTTATCATGGATTTGATTTTCCTACAGAAGATCTAGCAACCTGTCTCCAGTTCTTTTAGGTTAAGTCACCAAAGATACTTTTTAAAACCATGATGGTAATAAAATGAACTTACTACTTCTGTTCCCATTGAGCCACATGCCAGGAAAGGAGTAACTAAGACCATGTTGTTGCTATTTCTGTACACCTCTCACTCCCCGTACAGGTTCCTGGAGGGCAGATACTCTCTTTGGAGCCTGCATAGCTTGTGTCACACAGCTCTCACAGAGTATTCTCAGTAAATACAGATGAACTCAGAAATACTGTAAAGGGGAAGTTATATTTTACTTGTTTTTTTCTAGAATGGATTTGAATGTAGCCTACCTTTCTGCAATAAATCTGAGTTATAAAGGGAAAGCTGGCTGGTTTGAACTTACTCTCTTCTTCCAGACGCACTGGTGGCTATGGAAAAAGCCATGAAGAGAGACAAGATTATAGTCAATGACCGTCAGTTGGCTTGTGCTCGAATTGCTTCCCCAGAGGGTCAGGACTACCTGAAGGGAATGGCAGCAGCTGGGAACTATGCCTGGGTCAACCGCTCTTCCATGACCTTCTTAACCCGCCAGGTACAGTTGAAGTTGCTCTTCTGTTCCCATGAAGTTAAGCGCTTTAAAACATAATGTAGTCAAATCAGAGCCTATAAAGCTTGGTTTTGGAAATGTATGTAATAAATATTCAAAATATTGGCGAAGTGTCCAAGCTTCTGGTGTCTCCTTAAACTAAATCAGCAGGGTATCAGGAGTAGGGGACAGGGAGGGGAGAAGAGAAGCCAAAATTATTCCTAGAATTTGTCTTGAGCAGTGGAGAGGACAGAAGTGCCGTTCACCAAGATTCAGAATGCAGAAGAAGAAGCAACTCTGGAGAGTAGGAACAAGAATAGCCCAGCAGCTTTTCAACCAAAGTTGTAATTTATGGAGTGGAATTTGCTATGGGGTCTAAAGAAAGTTTTTGTCCTTTACATGAGGATTGATAATACTGCTGTTTTTGAGCTTTTAAGTCCCTCACTCCCTTCAGGAACAGACTAGCCAAAATCAGTAAAGTTCTGAAGAGCCAGTTCTGGCTGCTATTAATGTAAGCTTTTTTTCTTAGGCTTTTGCCAAGGTCTTCAACACAACCCCTGATGACTTGGACCTGCATGTGATCTATGATGTTTCTCACAATATTGCCAAAGTAGAACAGCATGTGGTGGACGGAAAGGAACGGACTCTTTTAGTACACAGGAAGGGGTCTACCCGTGCTTTCCCTCCTCACCATCCCCTCATTGCTGTTGATTACCAAGTACGTACTAAGCCGTTTGTGGTTTTAAGCAGTGGGGGCATGATTTAGACAGTTCTAAATATGGATAAATTTAAACAGGAAAGCAGCAATTGTGAAAAGAAAATAATCTGTCATCCACAAGAACAGTGATTTCCAGTCGTCTCTGAAGTAATGACTCTGCCCATTATCTGTGTTTGCATGGAGTGCTGCACGGAGAATATTCTGATCCATTAAGATACATTAAGATTATTTTCGTAAGGCCTTTAAATGATTAGAAGATGGGACTAAGATTAAACTCGGTCTGTTTCATTCCTCTTCTCCTTTTGGTGTCTGGCTGTGATGGATTTAGCCTACTGCCATTTCACAGATGAGCAGACAAGCCTGAGAGGGCAGGGGCCTTGCTCAGAGTGGCTCTTCCTAAAAGTACACATTTGAGTTTTGCTTTGCTCTTACCTTTAGTCTGTCTTCTGGTGCCTTCCTGGTCCTCACATTTTCCTTCCCCTCTCAATTATCAAAAAATAATGTCTTAATAAAGTTGTGAGAGCGTGCATTTAGAAGTCTGGGTTTCTCCCACAATCCTCCAATGCAAGAGGGAATTTAAACCTCAGGCATAAATTTTTAAGTTCATGCATTTCTGAATTTTAACATGTTTGATTTGTACATCCTCAGCTCACTGGACAACCAGTGCTCATTGGTGGCACCATGGGAACCTGTAGCTACGTTCTTACTGGCACTGAGCAGGGCATGACTGAGACCTTTGGAACAACCTGTCATGGAGCGGTAAGTTACAAAAACAGCAACTTACTGAGAAATGCTCTCTTCACTGTAATTATTGTTTTGTATTTTGACAGGCAAACATACTTGGTTGATCATTAACAAAGTTGAGGTTTGGGTCTGTCTTGTCTTTTACCTGAATTTATTCCCATAATATATATACTGTCTGGTGAACTAACTGAGGTTGCCTAGTATCTTGACCTTACTGGGGTCATTGTAGGGCCAGAGACTGTTCCTCAACTCTGCAAGTCCACAAAATCCAGGCTAAGGAATTGTCACACTAGCATAACTGATACAACTTTATCCTATGCAAATTAGCGTCACAGTTTATCTCAGTGATTCATGGAGCTAGTCACTATCATAATTTGCTCCTTACTGGGTGAGTCCACTCAGGATTTGGAGGATATGCCCTGTTTTGCAAATCAGGACCCATGTGTTGACTGCACACCTATTTCAACATGTTGCCTCCTCTAAGCCAGGAGTTGGTAGACTTTTTTTCTGTAAAGCATCAGACAGTAAATCTTTTAGGCTTGGGGGCCATAGGATCTCTGTAGCAGCTATTCCATTGTGCCGTTGTAGTGAAAAAGCAGCCATAGATAATACATAAACAAATGGGCATTGCTGTATGCCAGTAAAACTTTATCTACAAAAATAGATGGTAGGCCAGGGTTGGCCTGCAGACCAGTTCACCAGTCACTATTCTAAGCCGTCAGAGTGCTTAGCTAGTGATTGCGTAGAAAATAGAAATTGTCTAGGATACCTTCTCAGCAGGAAAACCCTCACAAGTATATTAACCCTACTTTTTCCTCTCATACCTTCTCATTTCTTGCTGCCTCCCAACTCCTAATTTTAACCCAGCCATCAAAACCATCCCCCACACACACATTAGCAATGTCTGGGGGCATTTTTTTATTGTCACAGTAGGGTAGAGGGTTTTGCTACTGGCATCTAGTGGGTAGAGGCCAAGGATGCTGCTGACCATCTTACAGTGCACAGGACAGTCCCTACAACAGTTACCTCATCCAAAATGTCAGTAACTGCTAAGATTGAGAAACAGTTTTAAATCACAAAGAACACAAAATTTTTGTGATGATACATACAGTGTTTACAATTTAAAATCAGTATATTTATTTATATTGAATTGATCATTAATAGTAATTAGGAACACAAAACTAATGTAGATGCAATTTGTTTTCCAAAAGGATATGATGAAGCTTATAACAAAAGGCACATTATAAGGTTGATAAGATAGAAAAAGATTGTTTCTTAATTCTTTTTTTAGTTTAAAAAGAAGTCAAAGAAAAACCATACAATCCTAAGGGATTAAATAATTGCTTGGATTAGACATAAATTGGAGCTCAGAGTTTATAAGTGAAGTTAATTTCTTTCCCAATCTAGGGCCGTGCACTGTCCCGAGCAAAATCAAGACGTAATTTAGATTTCCAGGATGTCCTAGACAAATTGGCAGATATGGGAATTGCAATCCGTGTTGCCTCACCCAAGTTGGTTATGGAAGAGGTAAGTGAAATTTTAATGATAAAACTGTTTATAATTTATGCCAGTGCACAATGATAGTAATTTTTAGTATTGCTAGTAGAAATTGTTTTTTAAAAAATAACCTCAGTTACAGTTTATCATCTTCTCTTTTGTTTGGAGATCAATTACGAGGCAAGTCCATAAGAATTTACCTTTCGTGTATAATCTCATGTCTACGTATCAAACTTTAAAAATAGTTTGAGCTGACTCATTTTCACCTTTCTCTTGCACAGCTGCATACATAGGTTTAAATTTGAATACAACTGTGAGAAGGCGGGGGGGAAATGTTTGAGGAAACGGTTTTGTTTGATTTAAAAGGGAGCAAAGATTTTGTCTAAATGACTTGTATGTATACGTACACATATGTACATATTTAAATTAGAAGCACCGTAACTCCTTTTAAAAGTTTAAGAGAAAAGAAAAATAGTCATCTAGAAACTCAGTTCCCTAACACAATTATCTCCTTTCTTAAGATGCTTATTGCCATTTTTTGAACTAGTTATAATCATAGTTTACACTTTATAGTTTTTTTCTAATTTTGCACATTATTATATTATTTGTAAGTGTCACCTTTTAATGATTGCCAGATATGCTAAGTTTCTGCCCATCGTGAACATTTAAGTAGTTTCCAAATCTTTTCTTCTCTAAGTTAAGTTGTAATGTGTGTCTTCATGCATGAAACTTTTCTCCATGTTTTAGTAATTAGAGTGAAACCCCAAAAGCAAAATTACTAAGTTAAAGAGTATGATAAAGTATAATATTACTTTTTAATAACTAATAATTTTTCACCCAATTTTAATTAAGTTTTGGAAAATACAAAGAGGAAAACAGAAAACATCTAGAATTTCATCAACCAGAGATAACCACTGTTACTATTTGGATTTTTTTTACTTGCACATTTTATATATGATTTTTTTCACTCATCTAGTTAGTACTTATTAAATAGCCACCATAGTTAAGTACTGTTCTGGTGCTAGGGATACTGCAGTGAACAAAACAAACATAAATCCTTTTCAGTGAAACTTATCAAATAGTAAGATGTATAGTGTGTAAAATGATAGTAGGTGCTGCAAAGTAAAATGTGTAGGTAGATAGGGAGAGACTAGGAGTGGATGCAGTTTTAAATAGCATGCAGTGAGGTTAGTGTTTGAGTGAAGACCTATGGGGAGTGAGGGAACAGGCCATGTCAGTATCTAGGGGTAAGCTGTCCAGGCAGGGAGAATGACAAGTGCAGAAACCCTGAGGCCAGATTATGCTTGAATGTTCAAGAAACAGCATGGAGGCCAGCGCGCGTAGAGCATGCAAGAGGGAGATGGGGCTAGAGAGGTAGGGGCACCAGATCACGTGGATCCTTGTTTTTTCCTTTACGAAAGGATTTTTGCTCTTACTCTGAGTTAGATGAGGGGAAGACTTTGGAGAATTTTGAGCAGAAGAGTAACATGAGCTAACTGATTTGTTTGTGTGCTGTTGAGAGGAAACCAGAAGAGGTATTGATGATGCGGGAAAGGGGGGCGGAATTCCTCGAGCAGTGTCCTTGAGTAGATGAACGGAGATGGAATCTGGTGGGCTTGGTCTTTGGTAGGAGGTCTGCTAATTCATCCTTAATAAAAGGAGACAAGGTATGGATGCAGATAGTCAAGGAAGATATGGAGAGAGTTTATGGAGATTCTATTCTGATTGTTTCTGTTTTTTTTTTTTTCAGTGTAATAGGAAGTAGGGTCATGAACTGAGAGTGAGGTTGCAGAAGGTATGAAATCATCACCTAAGAGAAACAGTGAAAAGGAAACAAGGTTATTGAGGGTGTTGCAAAGGGATTGTAAGTCTCATGGGGTTAAAGAATTGCTGAAGGTGGAGTACAAGGGTGAGTGTGCTGAAAACCTCAGCTGTGATCACCAGTCTGGGATGCTGGAAATGGAGCCTGTGGAGGAGTTGTAATCACTGGTAATGGCAAGTTCTAGGGTATGACTCTGGAAGTGAATGGCTGAGGGAAGCATTGAAGGAGCAGAAATCGAGGAACTAGGAGGCCAAGGTACTGGAAGGATCCTCTTCCTGGATATTAAAATCATTCAGAAAATATAGCAGGAGAGAATGACAGTGAACCAGGAGCTAGAAATCGTCAAGTAGCAATGGGGATTCAGACTCCAGCAGATAATTGCAGCCAGATGTGTAGTAGGTGGTATAAATGATGACTGCAAGATTCGACAGTGGGAGGAAGGAGAGAGAATGATCTGGAAGGAACTGGGGAGAGCAAGGACACCTGTCCCATTTCTCAACCTAATGACATGACCCCGTTTGGGAGAGAAAACAGCTGACACTTCAGAAAGTTGGAAGCAGAGGTAATGTCCTCAGGGAAGAGCCATGTTTCTGGAAGAACAGGAGGTGAAGAGATTGTTTAAAGAAGGGAAGAAGTTCTTTGCCTTTGACTCAGTGGAAGGAGTGCCAGAGGCCACCATGGAAACATTTCAGAAATTGGAAGGGAATGCGAGATGGGCTAGAAGGGGGTTTGTAGAGAGCCCCGTGGGAATAAGTCTGAGCAGCCTAAGCTTGCTGTGTTGACATGAATGGAGATAATAGATGTGTGTGATGAGATTTGTTCTAGTGGTGGCAAGACAGTGAGCGTGGGTAGGAAGGAAGGGGGAGCTCTACTAGAAACTCACAGAAATAAATTGGGTATGTGTATGTGTGTGTGTGTATATATGTATATATATATACATGTGTGTGTATATACACACACACATACATATATGTACATATATAGTACTGGTTATATACATATGAATTTAATAACTTTCCCTTATTGTGAGGATAATACGTGTTCATTCCAGGAATTTTTTTTCACTTATTTTATTAGCATTTATTTGTCTCCAATATATACTGGTTGCTGTAGAAAGACTCAATGAAGGGTCAGACATGGATTTTCTCCCCAAGGATCTCGTAGTTAAGCAGAAGAGTGCATCTTACTGCACAACTGTGATTCAAGGGAGATAAATCCAAATTTATCTTGGCAGATGAAACCTAATTGGAAATTCAAAGAAAGTGAACCCTATCTGGGGAGGGTAGGAGAAAAGGTGATCAGGAAAACTTGCACTGAAATCATATGCTTAGAACTCAACCATCAAGAATATGTAGCATTTGAACATGCAAAGATGGGCCTACATTTTAAGCCACAGGAACAGCACATGCAAAAGTTCTGAGGCTAAAAATCATGGCCTGGGTATAAGAAATGCTGAATAAGTACCATTTGGCTTAGTTATTCCAGGAATTGTGACAACTGCAGAAATACATAATGAAAAAAATTCTAAATCGCCAATAACTCAACCATCCAAAGTCAGTTACCACTAACAAGATGATTTGTTCATTTCCTTCTAGTTGAGTATTGGTGTATTTGTTTTATTCAATTACATTTACTGCTTTTCTACTTATACAAGTGATATATGTTCTCTGGGGAAATTTTGAGAAATACGGAAAAAATATAAAACAGGATGAGAGTGTTTATCTCACTACTCCCTTACCAACACTGAGCTTAATCATTTCGTAAATCTTGCTTATTCGATAGGGAAAAAAAACCCTCTGTATTGTTTGAATGTGCATTTCTTTAATTACAAGTAAGGATTAATGCTTTAAAGATTCCACTTTAAGTAGATTTTTACAATGTTTTAACTCCTCCCCTGCAGGCACCTGAGTCCTATAAAAATGTGACCGATGTGGTGAACACCTGCCATGATGCTGGAATCAGCAAGAAGACCATTAAACTGAGACCAATTGCTGTTATCAAAGGATAGAACCCTGACTGCGGCCACCAGACATCACTGACCCGCACTGAAGTGGAAGTGGACTGAATGCTCCTGAGATATCAGATTCAAGAGATCTGACAGGTTCTAAGGTGTGCATATGTAGTTACCTGTTCCGAAATGGCTGGCGGGGGAGGCTCCTGCTTTAGGAGCCAGTGTTGTTAATGGGCCTTCTGGGAGGAGTCACGTTGCCCCCATTTGAAAAGGGATACATGTACTTCCTCCTGGATTGTCCCACTGATTTTTAGGAAAATCTGTTGAGGGTGGGGATAAGTCAGTAAACTGCCTTAGTCATTTAAGCATCAGATTGAAGGTCTTTGCACCAAGCTCTGTTTCCATCCTGAGAGGTGTCAGGAAAAATGTTCTATTAAATAGAAAGATTTTAGAATGTTTCCTTTTGCCATCCGTTTGTCACTTTGTCCACACATCTACTTGCTTTCCCTGCACTGAGCAAAACCCTCAGTACCACTTTTACTTGGAGCGTACCCACGGGTCATAGCAGGGTATTAGACAGGTAGATAATGGGACACATGGAGGAGATTGAGGAGGGAATGTATGTGGGGTTGTGTGGATAGGGACCCAGAAGAGAAAATAATTCTTTGTAAACGTGCTTACCTTCCTCATTCTAAATATAAGGCAGAGTTTTGACTTATCTGTAAAAATGGCATCAGCTGGTATCTATCATTAGTTAGGCCTGGTCTGGTAGAGTTTTCTTGAATAATAACTTGCACAGCAGCAGCAGAGGACCCTCACATAATACTGACTATCTTTACATTTGTGATAGAATTATTATAAATGGATCAAATGGCCACAGCTGGGATGTTAATGGTTACTCTCTGTTGACAGGTTGACTAGTCTTGTGCCACCTAATCAGATTTCATGTTAGTGTACTGTGACACCCAAAGATATTAAAGTAATAGGTTACTAAGGCCCTGGCTGAGTCCAAACAGCCAGTAAAATCGAAAAATCTAATAAAATTATAATATGTTGCTTATATTTTGTGCTTAATATTTTAAAACTTAGGACAGTTAGTATTTTCACTTGATTCACTTTGGACAGTGTTGTTGTTTTCTGGTTTTTCTCCCTGATTGCTTTCAGAGATGTGCCTAAAAAATATTCTTTCCTACAACTTATCCCTCAACTTACAGTAAAACCCCCTCATTGGAGTATCTTCTAAATGCTATTTGGAAGGCTGGAGAAAAGGAAACTTCCTCTGAAAGATGTATGATATAAAATAGCATAGCATGTCTTTACTAAGAGCACTTAGTAACTTTAATATTTTTGATGGTAGAATTTGGCCTGCGGCCATACCACCCTGAACGTGCCCGATGTCATCTGATGGTAGAGTTTGAAAGTTATCCGTAAGTTAAGAATCTTAATACAACAATTACATTGCTTATGCATTTAGATTGGACCAATGACCATTGTGCTCAGGTGACTTAAGGATGCATGTTACCTATGAACACTGGGACGCTGGTGAAAGATGAGAAGCAAGGTTCTGGCAGGTGCTGCTAGATTCCCTAGAGATGAGGCAACAGTGAGCATCTGTGTTGGCTCCTCCTTATCAGGGCTTCCCCAGTGATAAGTCATTTGAAACCAGTTCATAGCATAGTCCCCTCCAAAAACCAACTGATGTCAGTGCAAGAAATACTGCAGATCATCTTAAATACATATGTTACATTTGATTGGATGTTTTGAAAGTTACTCTTAGGGGAGGGGAGAAGGGAGCAGGTGAGGAAGAAAAACAGAAAAGAGTGGTTTGTGCAATGGTGTTTCTGTTTTGTAAGCTTCTCTTAAATGTGGCATTTCTGTCAAACTTGGCCCTGTTAATGACCATAGAAGGTAGTGGTAATATTTTGAGTTCAAAAAGAATAATACAAACATTGTTTTCTTTCTTCTAAAGATGTTATTTTTCCATTTGAGGCAAAAAGCCACTTAAAAATGAATGTTCAAGTGAAGCTAAAGTAAGCAGCTGTTTCTACTCCTGTGAGTAAAAGTACCCCATGCCTGTGCACATGGACACAGCTGGAAGGCCCTTTGATAAGACACTGTCTGGTTCTTCCAGGCCTGAAAATGAGTCTTAGTACTGTGCACATCTTGGTCCGTTTTTCAGGCTTCTACAGTCAGTAGGTTTATCATTAATATTTTTAAAAGCACTGACATTCACACCTTGATGATGGGCTGTATCATTCCTGTCATCAGCGTATGGTTGGGGAAACCAATTCATGAGACAAACAAAATAAAAAATACTCACTAATTTTCTAATTTTGTGAATATTTCCTGGAGGAAACAAGGAACTGAAGACTTAAATATTGAATAAAATCTTGCAGATCTTAAGATGCTCCCAATTTTGATCTTCATATAACCTTTGAAAATTTAACCACAAGATAACATTTTTTTAGCTTTTCCTATTTTTTTTTCTGCTTAAGATGCCTTTTTCCCTCATCTTCATTAGTTTCTTTCTCCTATTTCTGAAAATCACTTGTAAGCATCATCTGTATTGCTGAAACATTCACAAGTCTCTGTACCTGATATTCCAATACACAACTCACACAATTTGTTCTGTCCTTATTTCCTACCTATTATTTTTGCATCTGCTCCATTGCTTGAATATATGGAATTTTCATGTTGTCCAGACAATATGATTTGTGTCTGTCTGGATCAGCTGAGTATGAAGATGCTGTTAATTATTAGTTAAGCACCTTGGAGTATACCAAGTTGTTACAGTAGATTCTGATCTTTAAAAGCTTTTGCTTTAAAACTGATACCTGAAACACCAGTGATCCAAGGAAAAGATATTATAAGGGGGACATACCACAGAGAATTGAGTGGTGACTGAACTTGTACTTTGCTGATAGATATAAAGTAAAGAATGAAATGCCAAGCATGTAGTAGGTGCTTAATACATTAAAAATCACCATTCTTGCTTTGCATTTTATCCAACATTTTTACATATGGTTTTAGTCCTTAGTAAATGAGGGAGGGAGGGAGGATTCTGTGAGTTGTTCACTGAAATTTAATGAGGTTGGCAAGATAGGTATTATCGCCTCATTACAATTTAGAATATAGCCTCAAAGGTCTGGCAGATTGCCCAAGGACTAAGCCAGGCATAGAGAACCAAGTGCTTTGATGCCCAAGTTTAATGCTGTTTTCTTGATGTCACACTGCCTCATTTAGCCATCTTGTGCTGCTTTTTTCTGTTCAGTCCAAGAACCAGCCAAGACCAGTCTAGAACTTTTCATTTGGAATACTCACAGAAATTTCTTTTAAACGGGACTAGTCATCTTGTTTGACCTTACTGAGGCAGATCGGAGATCTTGACCACCATTAAGGATTCTGTGAAGAACTGTAAAGACTTTACTCTGCTTGATGAATGTGTGTAAAACAGGTTTCTCCTTTTGCCTTGTGTCCTAGTCCACAAATCAGTAAATGACAGGTAGCCCTCAAAACACTGAGCATCTCCAGGGACCCCAGGAACCTATAATCATTTACCCCACTTTAGAGTGTTAGCTTGAGAATGACTTCTGGATTTGCCTCACCTCCGTTGCTATGTGTTTCTTTCCCAGAATGGGAGAAAACCTGTGTATAATCAGGCACCAAGACACTTGCCCAAGTTCCTGGGGGAAGAAGACCCCTTGAAGAATATATGTTATAGGGAAAAGACATTGAATCCTAGCCCATCTTTGTGCATAGTCACCCTACTTCAGAGAGGTGTCTGTAGCCTAAGCCTCTGCTTCCTCAGCTCCCATCCCATCCTTGATTCTTAATCCCGGCTGAGTCCTTACCACTCGAAGGAAACTCCTCACCAGCATCACCAGTTACCTTGTAGTTGCTAATTAGGTGGACCAATTTTAGTTTTTATTTGCCTTCTGTAGTATTTGATACTATTAATCATTCTCAGAACACTTCCTGAAAACATTTTAATTGGGCCACATCCTGGCCCTCTTCTCACTGTGTACATCCTTCATGACTCATTGTCACCCACTCCCATGGCTTATCACCCATGGCTGATGACCCCACGTTCACCTGACCAACCCACATCTATTGGACAGCCCCACCTAAAGTTCCCATAAACATCTCAGAATCAACATGTAAATTCAGTATATTATTCTTCCTTCTTTAAAAATCTGTTCCCACTCTCAGGGAAGACACTACTACTGGCCAATCCCCTAAGCTAGAAATTAGTGTCTTTTTTTATTTCCTCCTCTCTCACCTTCATCCAAGTCTTGTCAATTCTAAATCTTGGATATTGCTAAAATACTTCACTCTCTTCATTTCAGTGCTTACATCACTTATCTGTTCAGATCCTTAGCTGCCATTTCTCAGACTTTGCATTAGCTGATAGTCTGCCCTGTGTAAATCCTCTTTTTCTGGCAGTAGTATCCATGTTTCTTGGAGAACCATCCCATCTCCATTCTCTTTTGTGTGGTTTGGGTGGACTGACTCCACTCAGACCTGGATACTCAGCATCACTGCCTCCACCCCAAGCCTCCAGCCCCAGGAACTGGTTGAGGAATTAGCACATGGTCCAGTTAGAATAAAAGCTAATCCTGGGAGCTTTTCTGTTTCCCAAGAGCAAGGTGCCTTCTTCCTCTGGTGTTGATAAGAAGATAATATGTAGGCCTGGGCCTGTTGACAGCCATCTTGCCACATAAGCAAACTTGTCTGAGAAATGGAACTCACATAAAGGGAAGGAGAGCTGAAGGGTAGAAAAAGCAGAAGTCCCTGTGATGTTAAGATTTGAACTGGACTTATCTGTGCCCAAAAGGATACCCTTGGACTTCCCAGTTACGTGAGGCGGGGGGGAATTACATCTTTGTGCTTAGGTCATTTTGATTTGAATTTTCTTAAGACCGTAAGATTCCTGGCTGGCACAGTGATAAGATGATGGAGGGACGTGGAAAGAGGGGAGTCAACTGAATCCACACTTTTGCACCTGGGGCATGGAAAGGATGGCTAAACAGAAGTGCTAAGGAAAACTGATTTTGAAAGGGTCATGAGTTTGGAATTAGACACTTTGAATTAAGATGCTGCAGGCCATTGAAGAGGCAACTTGAAGATGCACTGCAGGAGTGCAGAAGAGAGACTTTAAATGGATCATTAGATCTCAGAGAAAATGAAAGTTTTCCAGGCTCAGACTCTGAAGGATCTAGCACTAGAGCATGGGAATCCTCCATAATAATCTTAATAGCTAGCATTTATTGAGCATTTCCTATAAGCTGGAAATTGTTTTAGGACGGAAGTAATAGAGATAGTAAGAAGGCTAAAGCCCCTCCAAGGTACCCAGTAATAAGGAACCTGAAAAGTGGCAAATCTGAAAGAATCGCTAGGCATTTCTTGAAGTGTTAGTCATGGTCCTTAAACTTTCAGAGGGCGGGGACCTTCTTTGAGAATCTGGTAAAAGCTAGGCTAGATTCTCTGCAGAAAAATGTACAATTACACAAAAGTCTCACGGGGTTTACTGAGATCATTCTTGATAAATCACAAGGATGTGTGTGCGAGAGAGAAAGAACATCTTGTGCCAGAAAAATAATAAAATGCTCAATGAATGATGGGGGTGGGACATGTAAAAGGAACCAGCTTGAAGGGACTTCCTCACCCCCAATCAAGTTGGAGACAATCTGAGCACTTAGGAACAATATCAAAAATGATATTGATAGGTTACAAACTACTGAATGAGTCCATACTAATAAAAATAAGTGAATAATGAATTGAGGAAGGGAAAGCTCTTCCTTATGGGAGAATGCCAATTAATAAATATGGAAGGACCAAGGGAAATAGAGAATCCATATTTGGCAACCACTGTGGAGGTGACTGTTGCAGGTGAGAGCTGTCAATGAATATGGAGGCAAGTTGGTTGAAGTTTGATGAAGAAAAGGATATTGGCATAATATCAGAATACCTCACTCTCCTTCAGATACTAATCAATCACAGAAGCTAAAATGGTGAATTTAAGGTAGAGAAACCTGGCAACACCAGCATAACTGATCAAGGTT